GCGGTCCCTGGGCTTTGCTAAGCTTGTTCTAAGTAGGTGCTTTAGACCACTGAGCCATCTCACCAGCCCTGTGAACTCTATATTAAGTGACAAATAGACCGCAGACATGTTTCCTATAGAACAGTAGTGGCTATCTTTTCCAGAATTGTGGCACAAATTAAGTTCATGAGCAGAGATACCACTGCGTATTATTTTCTCCTCCTCCTTTTCTTCCTCCTCTTCTTCCTCTTCCTCCTCCTTCTCTTCCTCTTCCTTCCCCTCCTCTTTCTCCTCCTCCTTCTTGTCATCCTTTTTCTTTGAAAGGCTCATATACTTTTGAAGCCTAACAGGCTGAGAGACGTGATGCCTTTCCCCCTTTTTATTTTACAACAAATACTGAGCAGATGATTTTTCATACACTGACCTTACATATGTACATTTGGAATTAGAAGTGATGGGCTGGGCATGGTAGTGCACCCCTGTAATCCCAGAACTTGGGAGACTGAGGCAGGAGGATTGTTGTGAGTTCGAGGTCTGCCTGGGCTACAAAGTAAGCTCATACCCACCCTGAACTGCATAGTGAGATCTTGTCTCAAAAAGACAGAAGGAGGGGGGAAGGAGAGAGGGAAGGAGGAGAAGGAGCACAAGAAGAAATAGAAATGAGAAGTGATGGGGCCAGGAAGATGGCTCAGTGGAATAAGCACTTCTCTGGCAAGTGCAAGGGCCTGAGTTCAATCCCTGGTTGTGCAAAAAAAAAGAGAGAGAGAAGTGAGATCTGGTGGCACATGCTTATACTATAACCCTGGCACTCTGGGAGGCTGACAAAGGAGGATCACAGCTTTAAGCCCAGCCTGGCAATTTAGCAACTTAGCAAGACCCTGCTTCAAACTAAAAAATAAACAGAGCTGGGACTCAGGTCTTGGGCTCAAGCCCTAGTCCTATGGGGGAAAACCCCTAGAAATTAGTTACTGTCAACCCCTCTAGAATACCCTAGACCTATGTACACAAAAAATAAAAAATTAAAAACCCACAAGTTTTTAATTTGTACAGTATGTCCAAATGAGAAACAGGTATGTGAGAAAGTGCTTGAGTTAGTTAAATAGTACAAAATATAGTCACACTGCGGTACCACTGCCTACCCACCAGAAGGACTAACTTGAAAGGTTTGTTTTGTCTTTTTGAGACAGGGTCTTACTGTGCAGTTGAGGCTGGTCTTAAGTTCAGTTTGTAGCCCTGGCTGGCGCTGAACTTGCAACGATCCTTCTGCATCAGCTTTTTAAGTGCTGGGTTTACAGGAGCACAGCGCTATGCCCTGTTCTTAAAAGATTGAAAAATTACTAATGTACATTTTGCTTAGATCCTTAACTAATCAGTATATTTATCTTTATTTGTTTAAAATTTAGGATATCCTGGTTTGATTTGGTTTGGTTTTCTATTCAGTGCTGGAGACTGAGCCAAGGGCCTCTTGTGTGTGAGGCAAGTGCTTTATCAACAAGGTAATAGCCCAGGCTTACGCTGCATTATTTTAATGACCAATGAAGTTGCATACCCTATTGTGTGTCTGCTGGTCATTTGGATCACCTTTTGTTACGAAGTTCTCGCTTAGGTCTTTTGCCCGTTGCAGGTATGGATGTGTGGTGCTGGGGGTCTAACCCAGCCCTTGCATATCCTGAGCAGGTGCTTCCACCACTGGGCCACAGCCCCAGTACTCCATCATTTGTTGGTTGTCTTTTTTTTTTTTTTTTGCAGAACTGGGGATTGAACTCAGGCTCTTGCGTTTGCCAGCCAAGTGCTTATTCTACTGAGCTATCTCCCCAGTCCCTGTTGGTTATCTTTTTATTAATTTCTGATTTAGTAAATTGTTTATTCATTGTGTTCCATATTCACAGATGTCATCTGCTTTTCCCAGCAGATTTTTTTTGTTTTGTTTTTCAGACAGAATTTTTTTTTTTTAATGGAACTAGGGATTGAACTCAGGTCCTTACACTTGCCAGGGAAGCGCTTATTCCACTGAGCCATCTCCCCGGCCCTGAGACAGAATTTTGTTATATAGCCCAGATTGGCCTTAAACTCACAGTGATCCTTCTGCCTCCGGACTCCCAAATGCTGAGATTACAAGTATACACTGCCGCTTCCAGCTAGCCAAATGTCACTGAGGAATTCTTGATCTCCAATTTAGCTGTGCTTTAAAATCTCCAATAAAGAGCTTTCTCTTCACTTCGCTTCCCTCCCTTCCTTCTTCCCTCCCTCCTTCCTTCCCTCCCTCCCTTTCTTCCTTCCTTCCTTGCAGTAGGGTCTCACTGTGTAGTCCAGGCTGTCCTTGAACTCACTGTGTAACCCAGGCTGGCAGTGCTCGTGGTGATCCTCCTGCCCCAGCCTCCCTAGTGTTGGGGTTACAGGCATGTGCTAACCATGCCCAGCTAAACAGCTCTAACATTTAGCTTTCACCAGCTGTATGGTTAACTGAGAACTACTAACAGAAGGGGCAAGGTAATTGATGATTAGCTTGTTTTTCAAGAGTATCGTTGTTTCTCAGTCCTTGATTATAAGCAATTTGTATTTCTTCCTCTCTTCCTTCTTTTGTGGTTCTTAGAAAGTATATAAGTCATTACTGGACAGAACTAAAGATTTTTCTCCTCCTTTTGATTCTTTCCAGTGTCATAATTTGATGTTTTTGTATCATTAGGCACAAGAGAACAGCAACTCTGTAAAGAAGAAGACAAAGTTTGTCAACTTATACACAAGAGAAGGACAGGACAAGCTTGCGGTCCTGCTTCCTGGTCGCCACCCCTGTGATTGCCTGGGCCAGAAGCACAAGCTCATCAATAACTGTCTGATCTGTGGGCGGATTGTCTGTGAGCAAGAGGGTTCTGGGCCCTGCTTATTCTGTGGCTCTCTGGTGAGGTGGTTTTCTATTTTGTCTTACTAAGCTTTGTTTTAATACACAGGGCCATTGACATCTTTAGTAATTTCTGTTTTTCTTAGTAAATTTCTTCCCTAAGATGTCCAGGAATCTCTACTAGCAGATATTTGATTAATCTGAAACCCAAGGTTATAGCTAGCACTTAGGCTATTAATAAAGGCTTATTAATAAAGAAGGCTTTAAGAACATATATTGTCTTGCCTAGCAAGCTGGGAGCTTTGGGCTCAGTCCTTGGCACCAAAAACAAAAAATAAACCTCTCCTACGAACATGTATTGTCAAGTGAGCCAAGTCTGTATCAGATTAATTTTAATTAAGAGAAACTTTATTTTATTTATTTATTTATTTATTTATTTATTTATTTTTTGCAGAACCAGGGATTGAACTTTGCCCGTTGTGCTTTCCAGGCAAGCACTTATTTTACTGTGCTATCTCCCTGGTCCCTCAAAGAAACTTTAAAACCTGAAATGTAAGAATTTTTTTGTAGATGGTGTCAGATGGGGCTCAGATCTGTAGGACACCGAGACACAGTGACATAAGTCTCATGTCACTTCAGCTCCTCTTTCTAGGACACTGCCTTGTTAAAATCTGCTCTATGTGGGAGAATGACCTCAGAGTGTAACAGCAATGCCTCACTCACAAAACCCTAATGAACTGGCCAGAAAGCTCATCTGACGCTCATGGGCTAGCTGGCAGAAGCAGTGGCATTTGATGTTGGTGAAGGTGTTCATTTTATATTGATTTATTTTCTCATCTCTGGTGGGGCCCTTCATTGTTGCTTATACTCAGAATAAGCCATGAATGAAGTGAAAAAATATAATTCTTTTTTTTGTGTGTGTGTTTTAGGGAAGGGTCTACAGGGTCTCACTACTAGTTTGAACTCATAGTGATCCACCTGTTTACAGTTTCCCAAGAGCTGGGATTACAGGCACGTGCCACCACACCCAGTCTCAATTGCAGTCTCAGTGCACCCCAGTGGTGGGGCCAGCACGGTAGGCCCAGGGATTTAACCCCCAGTCTTTGCGCCTGCTTGCAAGAACTTAATCCACTGAGCTATTTGGCCCGCCCTTATAATTCTTATAAACATGTTCATCAAATGGCAGTAAATCTGGCAGGAATACTGTTGCTATTCAGAGAACTGCTAGGAAGTTCTCTTCGGTCCCTTAGACCCTTCAGTGTATGAAACAAAGGGAAAGAAAGCAGATTGGCCAGAGTCGCACAGTTTTACAAGCTTCATATAACGCTTCTTGGCATACTTCTTACAATTGCAGTAAATTCATAATAAACAGAGCCTTTTTTTTTTTTTTCAGAACCAGGGATTGAACCCAGGCCCTTGCGCTTGCCAGGGAAACACTTATTCCACTGAGCCATCTCCCTGGCCCCAATTTGCTTGCTTGACAGAATCTAAGTTGACCAGGCTGGGCTTGAACTTGCAGTCCTCCTGCCTCAGCCTCTCAGTGTGCTAGAATTATAGGCATGTGCCACCATGGCCAGGTGGCTTTTTATTTCCCTGAATAGATTTGTGATAGGTAGGTAGTGTTTGAAGTAAAGATACTAAATATATGTAATTGGTTTGGGGACATAGCTCAGTAGTAGGGTTCTTGCCTAGCATGTCTGAGGTCCTGAATTCTGTCCCAGTTGTTACACAAACACAGACAATGTATATATTTGCGTATATATGGTATAAAACCTAGACTGATTTTCTCTTTTTATTTTCTTTTGCAAAAACCTGGGCTAATTCTCATGGATGGCACTGTAATTTGCTTTTTCTGGCTCTTTCTAGTAAAATAGCTGCTTGTAATTTATCTTCTCAGTTTTAGATTTCTTTTTTTTTTTTTTTTTTTTTTTTTTTTTTTTTTTTTTTTTTTTTTTTTTTTTTTTAGATTTCATTATTATGAGAAGTTTCTTTTCCTTTTCTTTTTGTCTTTTTGAGACAGCATTTCACTATGCAGTTCAGGCTGTCCTTGAGCTGACTTAGTAGCTCAAAGTCAAACTCAGCAATCTCCCTGCCTTGGCATCCCAAGTGCTAAAGTTATAGGTGTGTGCCACTATACCCAGCCTACAACCAAGAGACAGCCAGAAAAAAGTCTTGCATGATTTTTCTTTTTTCAAAGTTTTATTGATAAACAGCAATGAGACAGTTTCAAATCAAGTCGGAAGTACAGTTTCAACAAATAATACACTGCATATATTCTTCTTAGTGGTTAATTGCTGTACAAGATTGCATGATTTTTCTAGTATTCTCAAAAGAGGCAAATATTTGTCTTTTGAAAGTAGATTAATGTTTGTCTTTTAAATTATCAGGTCACAGGGCCGGCCAGATAGCTCAGCAGACTAAAGTGCCTGCTTAAGCAGAGCATAGCGACCGGCCGGGATTCCATCTCTGGCCTGCCATGCCAGCCCCACCCCAGGGGTGTGCTGAGACTGGGCATGGTTGTGCACGCTTGTAATCCTGGTGCTTGGGAGGCTGAAAACAGGAGGATCACTATGAGTCCGATCTGTGTAGTGAGACCCTGTAGACCCTGTATCAAATACATAAATAAATCATCAGTTCATGCAAGGATACACGCATACCTGCAGTAAGGTAAATTTTTATATAGGCAATAAAAGAGCATATAGCACTCTGCCGAATGAGGCAGGATGAGCACCAGGAGTTCAAGGCCTGCCTGCCTGCGCTACATAATGAGACCCTGTTTCAAAAGCACCCCCCAAAATAATAGAGAACAGTGCACAGAGAACTTGGGTAAAACTAATGTGATGCATACATATTGGTACTTTGCATAAAGACACTGACAATCTCATTATTTTACTGTCATATCTATAGTTTGATGTTACTTTATACTAATGTGAGGTACTTTTTTTTTTTTTTTTTGTCTTTTGAGACAGGGTCTTGCTATGCAGTTTAGGCTGGCCTTGAGCTGAGCTCACTTTGTAGCCCAGGCTGGTCTTGAACTCGAAACAGTCTTCCTGGCTTAGCCTCCTAAGTACTGGGATTACAGACATGTGCCACCATGCCAGGCCTAGATATTTTTAAAGTATATCAAGCCAGTGACATAATTTATTGGATCATATATCTTGCTATTTTACAGGTATGTACTCATGAGGAGCGAGATATTTTACAGCGTGACTCAAACAAGAGCCAGAAGCTGCTAAAGAAGCTCATGTCAGGTAACCTGCAGTCTTCTCATTGATCACTGTGTACATTTTGGTTTATTTGTGATTGTATTTATTTATTTATTTTGTGTGATTTTCTTTCTTTCGTCTAACATGGTATACCACTTTATTTGTTCATTACTCAGCAAGCGTTTTTAAAAGTTATTAGTAAAACGACATAACATTGCACAACAGAGCTGGGGAAATGGCTCAGTAGAATAAGTGCTTGCCTGGCAAGCGCAAGGGTCTGAGTTTAATTCCCGGTACTGCCAAAAAAAAAAAAAAAGAATTTTTTTTAAATTAAAAAAAATAAAAATTGCACAACAAAATGAATCTAATAGGGGCTGGTGAGATGGCTCAGTGGTCTAAAGCACCTACTTAGAACAAGCTTAGCAAAGCACAGGGACTGCGGTTCAATCCCCCAGCACCACATGCCAGCCAGCCCTGCCCCCTGGTGGGCCGAGCTGGCCACACACACACACACACACACACACACAAATAAATAAAATTTTTTAAAAAATGAATCTAATACTATTGTATTGGATTATAGCACAAGGAGTAAAATTAATACACATGACCACGTTCATATAAATAACAGGATAATTTACAAAATGGAGAAGAGACAGTTCTCTTTTTTTCAGTGCTACAAATAGCTTTTTGAACTGGGGATTGAACTCAGGCCCTTGCGCTTGCCAGGGAAGCGCTTATTCCACTGAGCCATCTCCCCGGCCCCAATAGCTTTTTATTGAAAGGTAAAAGTTTGCATTTGGCATGCTTTTGCAAAGTTAATGTGATCTTTGCTGTTGTATGCGTGCTGATAATTTTCCAAGCTTTGGCTCATGCATCATAAGTTTGAGAGGGGCCAGGGAGATAGCTCAGTAGAATAAGCTTTTGCCTGGTAAGCGCAGGGTCCTGAGTTAAATCCCTGGTACCAGGAAGAAAAGAAAAAGAAGAAAAAAATCGTAAGTTTGAGAGCAACACATGTAGCACTCAGGTCATTGAGAAGAGACAATTCTTTTTTTTTTTTTTTTTTTTTTTTTTTTTGGTGGTACTGGAGATTGAACTCGGGACCTTGCACTTGCCAGGCAGATGCTTAGTTTTCTGAGCTATCTCCCCAGCCCTGAGAAGAGACAATTTTTATAGAAGAATTCTCACAAATGAAGTACAGGAAGCAAGAATAATAGATAAGTACCATGAGAACAACACAGTAGTAATCTGCTACCAGTAAGATCCTTGATGCCTGCTAAAATTATTGACAGAAAATTTACGAATAATAAATTTGAAAGACCATGAAAGACAAGACTGAAGAAATTCTACAGGGCCAGGGAGATATCGCTCAGCAGTCTAAGCACCTGCCTGGCAAGCACAGGTGCCCTGGTTCAACCCCCGGGTACTGCACGCTGTGCTGGCCTTGCGCACTGAGCTGGCCAGCACGACCAGCACATCGCTGAGTCTGAGCTGTGTAGAGAGACCCTGTACCAAATACATAAATTTTTTTTTTTTTTTTTTTTTTTTTTT